TGCAGGTTGTTTTTGAGACATTAAGATTGGCCACAGTTAGTAATGGTGTTTTGAGAAAAACAACTCAAGATATAGAAATAAAAGGTGCTCCTAAATCCTTGCATATAGGATTAAACATTACGTGTGGATAGGTAGATGTGGATAGATAAGAATTTAGTGGTATTGTGATGGTATTGTTATGATATTCACTATAATAGCACTACATTACCACCACAATACCACCAATTCGCTTGAAATAATCGCTCTACTCTGCATATAGAGGGCTTCCAGTTGGAGTGCTGAAATCTTACTGTACTTTTCTCTTGCCTCACAGGATTTGTAATTCCAAAAGGATGGAGAATATATGTTTACACCAGAGAGATCAACTATGATCCACACTTGTATCACGAGCCGTTGGTCTTCAATCCATGGAGATGGATGGTTAGTTATTATTGATATCTGCAGATAATTATCTGTTGATTGAATTTTGGTAAATAAAATTGTGCATGATAAACAGGACAAAAGCCTAGATTCTCACCAGTATTTCATGCTGTTTGGGGGAGGCAGTAGACTGTGCCCTGGGAAGGAGTTGGGAACAGTTGAGATTGCTACATTCCTTCACTATTTTGTCACCAGATACAGGTATTAACTGTACCAAAAATTGTATGTGTTGCCAGAGGGCTGGTCATTGTTGCAGGACAAGGGCTTAAACAAAGTTATATAAAAATTGTTTTTAAGTTGTCTGCATTGTGGTCTAGACATAAGATTAAGGTCATAGAAATAGTTTCCTTGCTGTTGTGTACATGTTGTTTTCTTGGAATATTTGCTAATGCTGAGCCACATCTCTAACAACACGTATTGCAATTTGATGATACAGATGGGAGGAAGTTGGAGTAGCAACAATGCATAAATTTCCAAGAGTGGAAGCACCGAATGGATTACATATTCGTGTTAAGAGTTACCAAGCTTAGTAGTTCAGCATCATATATACCGATAGATAGATGTAATTTCACTAACACATCTTGATTGGAATATTTGTATTTTTTTTGTTTGTTTTTTGTGGTTCTTTTTGAGGAGGTGGTGTTCATTGTAAGGCTTGTAAAGCTGGTTTTCAGATAAGAAGAGGAAGTCATATATATATTACATGTTTACTGACAAGCAACTGAAGTTTCAAAGAGTTCTTAAACTTCTGTTATGCTCTGTTACTGTTACCTAATTTGTTAGATTCTCTAATAATTCAACATTAATTAATTACACAATATCTTAAAACATGATGAGGATTGAATAGCATGGTATATATAATTATTATTACTGTGTTAAAAAAAAAAGCTATTATCTCAATTGATTCATTTTGGGCCGGGCTGCTAAACCCTTTTCAGGCCCAGAATGTCAGCTCATCGCTTATTTTTTTGGGCTGCAACTGCCTTGTGAGCAGGTCTGGCCCAAGCTTGAAACGCACCAATAATCCCTTTACCTGTTAATTTTAATATTTTAACTTGCAAAAATATATAATGCCTTTTGGCTCTTTCCGTCCATTCAAGAGGGAAAATTATTCTATCAGGACTCCTAACGTAGAGATACGTTCGGATTCCATTGATATGTAGACACGTGACTTCAAAAAAATGTGCACGTTTTTCTGTGTTCCGACCCGATAACAAGTGAGAATGTTCCTCGTGTGTTATTCCGCGTTATTCAGGTATTATTGTGGTGGTATTGATGTGTTATTGTGTTATTATAACACTAGGAATATTCCCAGAACACAATAACACTTGAATATCACCATAATAATACCTAAATAACGTGAAAAGAAATACTCTCCTGTGCTAAAATGATTTTTTTTATTTTTCTATGGCGTCATTTCATTGGACTAAAATGTATCTCTACGTCAGGAGTCCGAATGTAATATTTGTTCATTCAAGAGTCCCTTATATGAAATATCACCATAAATTTTAGAGGTTGAAAGTGCAAAGCCTACAATTCTCTTGATAATGTTTTAGCACGTGCATCGCTATATTATGTGAAAAAAATTATTCTCAATAAATAAATAAGCTAATTAACATGGATTTAAGAGCTTATTTGATTGTTTCTAGATAAGAATCATGTTAAAAAGTGTATTTTTTCTTCTCATTGGAAGAACATATTAGATTTATCTAAGGAGATAAAAAATGGCTAAATGCTACCACAAGTCAAGTATTACACCTTTCTTAACTATACATATTTAGACACCTTTTTGTTGCTTTTTTGAGACCTTCCATAATGTGTGATCATGCTACGAGAAGTAATTGTTTGTCTATTTCTATGATGACCTTAATTTTCATAAGTTAGATAAATGCATGTTCATATTATATTGCCACTCCACACATCACAATTACATCTCTAACATACATAGTCTATCACAAAAAAAAAAATAATACTTAAAATAAACATATTAAAATTATATTTTATCATGAAACATGTTTGAAGATATTTTGGTGGATGTATCTTTATAAATAATTTTCAGGCACCTTTAGCTTTTAATTTCACACAATATTTGATAGATTTATAACTACATTAAAATAATAATACATTAATGCAAGTCAGTCATGATAGAAAAATACATGGTAGGTAAATGCCCCTATTCAGTGATGTGTATGGTCCCCATGTCATGAGAACCAAAGAGAAAGAAATATGACTTCAATATATTATTCTTGGGGATTTTCAACTTGTCCTCCTTCTGCAAGAACTAACACATCTTCCTCCTTCTGCAAGAACTACCACATTAATAAAAGCCATAAACTATCTTTTGTATCTAGCTCCACCACCAAAAAGCTACTAGAATTAATACATAGTGATGTATGGAGTCCCTTTTCACCCCTCCATGTATGGACACAAATAATATGTATCTTTTATTGATTTGCATTCTAAATTTAGCTAGAGATTTGTTGTACATGTGCCGGAGGTGATGTACATACCCTAGTGGTCCAGTGGCTAACTTCATGTATGATCTTTTAAGCTTAAATTATTTCAGAATTATCGCTTAAAATAAGTCATGTATATTTTATAAGAAGTATTGTTCTATAATTGATTGATTAATTTACATTTTGGATAAAATTTATATCCTTAAAAGCATATCAAGACATCACATACCAAACACAATATAAAAGAAAAACTATAACGAAATCATGTAATTAAAAAACATTCAATAGAAATAAATAATTACATGAATAAATAAATAAATAAATAGAAATGTTGGTTTTAATTTGGTTCATAAATACCAAAAAAAAAAAAAAAAGTAAAGCAATTGATCTATTACAATACATCTCAAATTAGGTGTATAAATTTAGGTCCATTTAACTCCATGCGGAACAACCAAGAGGCCTTATATGACTTTTCTAACAAAGAATTTTAGATCTGGCAATCCCTTCTACAGGTTCACAGGTCACTAAATGTGAACTTCTTTCCTCTTTTATTTTCTATTTTAACACTTAATAACATCTTTTACATTAATGAAATAGCTGAGCATAACTCACAAATAAAAAAATAAAAAAATAATAAAAAACAAAAATTATAATTCATATTATTTTCCTTATTAAATAAATGCTAGCATAGAAAGCAAGCAAACATTCATTAACACGAACTTATTTGAGCACAACAGCCTTCCTAACTTGCACTGGATTCAACATCCTAAGGTCCTGATAGTCATCCGTCATGAACAAATTTAAATTCATCATTACTGATTTGAATGTCCTATTTAATTTAAGCTTCGCTATTCAAAGAAGCTTTTTTAAAAGCCACATACACAAAAAGGAGAAGACGATCTACAATCTAAAATGACGAAAAATTATCTTTCTTATTAAACAACATCGGGAGACGTTTGCGAGACGAAACGAAAACTTTTCCACCCTTCAACATTGACGGCAACGGAAGAGAGATTCACCGCTTTATCAAACTAAACCTTATATTTTTGTTGATTTTTATTAACCACTGTTTACTTAATGTTAGGAAAACAAAAAGTTACAATCAATTTATATCTTACATTCCAAAAAATGAATCGGAGTCTGCCGACCAAAAACAAAAAAATTACACTTGAGAGTTAGGTTGAGTAATTAATCTCCAGTTGGTTAAAAAATGTAATATATAAATGTATGCAACAAAATGAATCCGAGTCTGCCGACCAAAAGCAAAATAAATTAAGCAGTTATTATCGTTACATGCAATTTTGCAAACATGTATAATTGAATGAAACAATTGTTGTGGTAACAAATAATCCTAAGTGAAGCTGAGAAAGACATTGCTCGGGTCAGTCACCAACAAAAGTCAACAATTGGTAGAATAAATTTGTTCATTGGTCCCTCTGAGATAATCACAATTGTAAGCATCCTACCAGCTCTCTCGGTAGCCGAACGCAAAACCAGAGGGATGGCTAAGCACTTGTTCCTAAATAGGTTGGAAATCAACATGCTACAACTATGACTCTCCAACTATAACCTGTAGCGACAAAATAGAAATGCTCTTATTTTATATATTCAATTAGATCCAACATTCTTTATTATTTGTGTTTGTGTTTACATTGTTTAAGCAGGCACGAAACATTGATATAATTCCCCTTACAAAAGGTAAATTGATATGGTAGGTTTATGTATGCTTGGATGTGCTATAAGAGAGAGAGAGATAAATAAAAACTAAAGTTGGATGGTAACATTAAAATATGCATGTGTAATAGAGAAATAATATCATCAAGACAAACAACAAATCCATAGAACTACGTGAGGCAATACCTCAGAGATGGGCGAGTTTATAGATTTTGAAAAATGAGAATAATAAGATAGATGTATTGGAAGACTGACTTAAACATGAGGTGATATTCGATAGGCAAGACAATACAAAATAGACTTGTTATGATTTGTCCATGCATAATAGAGGCTATAAAATGCATCAATAACACAAGTGGATAAAACTAATGTGAAGTTATTAGGAAAGGAAAGGTAGAAATCAAAGACATTTAACAGAGAAGTTACAAAATGAATGCACAAATTAACAGTATCAACTTATAAAAGTGCGAAAAAATTTCATGGTGTTTCTAATATAATATATGAAGAAATGACAAAAGCATACATGTGCAATGCTAACAGCCATGTGAAATTAAAGTCAATTACTTCCTGAAGATCTTTTTAATATAATTTCATGGTGTTTCGACATGATATGGATAGGAAGTTGACCATAAAATAACCAAACTCAAAAATTATCTTTTACCTCAAAAAAAAAAAAAGACATTTGAAAATTTAACTGAAGCCGTCGCAGGGAGATCAAATGACGTGCAAACCATATTCATCCTCAGCGATTTTTAGTGACGAACTGATAATATGCCTCTTCCCCATATATTTTTCTGGGAAGAAGAAAAAGAAATGAGAGCACTGGTTAAACAATTAGGGAAACGACACGGCATGCATCTAAAACAAAACATGAGAAGGAATAATCTTCAGATCCAAAAAAGAAAATTGCCCTTAAGAAAAATTTAAATAATTTCAACAAGCTCTATAAGGCAACAGTAATAATGACAGCAATAACATAGTGTACAACCTCCTCAAGATGATTTAAGCAGCAAAGCCTAAAATACAGTTTTGGGCGTACAAGAAATCGTGGGCTAAGATCTGATATAGAAATAGAAGGGATCCGCAAACCAACTAGTTTATATTCATTCTTCAAGGATCCTCAAGTGATTCAGAATTTCTTAGGATATAAGTTCAATAATATACACTCATATTCGCATGGATCTATTTGACCAAAAAAAAATTGATGAGCATAAATCCAGATCTACTATAGCTGAATTTAAAGAGGCTTAACTCACCGTCGCATGTTGCCCAACTCACCAAGGATTGAGGCTGGACAAGTCATTTGCACAAATAAATCAAGTTCAGACATCAAATCCTGGATATTCAACTTCCCTAAGAAATCCCAAAAGTTGTATGCTTGACAAATCTCTTCTTCCCAAAGATCTCACCTGCTCATCCAAAATACTCAGCCTACTGAGGAGGATTCATCGGCATTCGTCAGGTTTCCTCTCCCTTTCAAGGAACACACCCACGATTTTCAATTAGCGGGCAACTTACAAAATAATTTCAGGCCTTCTAGAACATAAAGGAACATTTTCTGATGTTCTTAATCTTAAACTCTTAAACTATT